CAAACACACCACTAATAAGGTTTCTCTCCTGTATGGCTCCTCAAATGATGCTTAAGATTAGAAGCGGCTGAAAAGCATTTCTCACACAGGTATTAAACTGATGAAAATAGTACTAAACACTCCACTCCTATCTGGTGTCACATTAGCTTGACCGCGCAGTGCCCCAAATTTGCAGTAAGAGGACCGGTAATTTCAAGCCTCTTCCATCTCCCTGTTACAAAAATCAGTGCCGTGTACACGACCACTGATAGGAGACGCGGAAGGTATTAAACTGATCAGAACAATACTAAACACACCACTCCTATCTGGTGTCACATTAGCTTAACCGCGCAGTGCCCCAAATTTGCAGTAAGAGGACCGACCAAGCCTCTTCTTCCATCTCCCTGTTACAAAAATCAATGCCGTGTACACATCCACTGATAGGAGACGCGGAAGGTATTAAACTGATCAGAACAATACTAAACACACCACTCCTCTCTGGTGGCACATTAGCTTGACCGCGCAGTGCCCCAAATTTGAATTAAGAGGACTGACCAAGCATCTTCTTCCATCTCCCTGTTACAGAAATCACTGCCATATCCATACAAATTGTACAGAATGTCCAGGATAGTTTTCCAGGGACAAATGTTGTCGCCTGTTGAACGAGGTGACCTTGCTCAGGTCCCAGGTGTACGGTTCCTAAATGGTTGGCTATATACACTCATTCACTGATAGGAGACGGAAGGTATTAAACTGATCAGGAACAATACTAAACACACCACTAATAAGGTTTCTCTCCTGTATGGCTCTCAAATGATGCTTAAGATTAGAAGCGGCTGAAAAGCATTACCATTGGTATTACAAACTGATAAAAATAGTACTAAACACACCACTCCTATCTGGTGTCACATTAGCTTGACCGCGCAGTGCCCCAAATTTGCAGTAAGAGGACCGCCCACGCCCCTTCTTCCATCTCCCTGTTACAAAAATCAATGCCGTGTACACGTCCACTGATAGGAGACGCGGAAGGTATTAAACTGATAAAAATAGTACTAAACACACCACTCCTATCTGGTGTCACATTAGCTTGACCGCGCAGTGCCCCAAAATTTGCAGTAAGAGGACCGACCAAGCCTCTTCTTCCATCTCCCTGTTACAAAAATCAATGCCGTGTACACCACCACTGATAGGAGACGCGGAAGGTATTAAACTGATCAGAACAATACTAAACACACCACTCCTATCTGGTGTCACATTAGTTTTCGATCACAAGAGTGCCCCAAATTTGAATTAAGAGGACCGCACTCCAAGCATCTTCTTCCATCTCCCTGTTACAGAAATCACTGCCATATCCACATACAAATTGTACAGAATGTCCAGGATAGTTTTCCAGGGACAAATGTTGTCGCTTCGTTGAACGAGGTGACCTTGCTCGTGGTCCCAGGTGTAATGGTTCCTAAAATGGTTGCCATATACACGTCCACTGATAGGAGACGCTGAAGGTATTAAACTGATCAGAACAATACTAAACACACCACTCAATAAGGTTTCTCTCCTGTATGGCTCCTCAAATGATGCTTAAGATTAAAGCCGCTTTAAAGCATTTCTCACACAGGTATTAAACTGATAAAAATAGTACTAAACACTCCACTCCTATCTGGTGTCACATTAGCTTGACCGCCAAGAGTGCCCCTGTACCAGTAAGAGGACCGACCAAGCCTCTTCTTCCATCTCCCTGTTACAAAAATCAATGCCGTGTACACGACCACTGATAGGAGACGCGGAAAGTATTAAACTGATCAGAACAATACTAAACACACCACTCCTATCTGGTGTCACATTAGCTTGACAGCGCAGTGCCCCAAATTTGCAGTAAGAGGACCAATCAAGCCTCTTCTTCCATCTCCCTGTTACAAAAATCAATGCCGTGTACACGTCCACTGATAGGAGACGCGGAAGGTATTAAACTGATAAAAATAGTACTAAACACACCACTCCTATCTGGTGTCACATTAGCTTGACCAAGCAGTGCCCTAAATTTGAAGTAAGAGGACCGACCAAGCATCTTCTTCCATCTCCCTGTTACAGAAATCACTGCCATATCCATGTACAGGTAAGACACGTGCAGCCGGTAAGGGTTCAGGCTCTTCTTCCTGGAGGATACGCTGCAAGCCTGTTGAACGAGGTGACCTTGCTCGGGTCCCAGGTGTACGGTTCCTAAAATGGCTGCCATATACACGTCCACTGATAGGAGACGCGGAAGGTATTAAACTGATCAGAACAATACTAAACACACCA